ATACGGGATCATCTGCGGCCTGATCGGTGCCGTCCATCGGCGCCGCGGCGAGCTCCGCCTCGACGAGCGGCAGCATGTCTGGCGGTTGGTGCAGAATCGCGTCGGCGAGGTACGCCATGGCGTCTTGGTCGGGTGGAGGGAGGCCTCTTGGCAGCAGAGCATGGGCCCGTAAGAGGTATGGCGGCAAAGGTGCCATGAAAGCCTCAGGGCCGACGAGCGTGGCACGAGCGCCCTGGTATTCCAGAAGGAGGCCAAAGTAGCGGGTGGCGTACTCGCGGCTGCTCTGGATACGAGTGAGGTTGCGGTTGATGCGCTGCCTGTCGGGGCCCGCTCTGTGCCAGATGTCCTCGCACATGTCGACCGCAGTGCGCTGACGCAGGGTGTCGGTAGTGTCGTACTGTGGCAGATGAAGCGTCGCCAGGATGTACGGGACGCAGTCCTCGAGCCATGCCCAGAACATGTCCTGGTTGTCCTCACCTGGTGCCCACGCCGCCGCACACGGTATGAGCCGGGCGCGGATCATCATCAGGTGCCAGAAAGCAGGGTCCTCCTCGGGTTCGCCCCTATCACACAGGGGAGTGGTGAGACCCGTAGGGCAATAGCGGGGCACAACAGCGGGGCTGAAGCCGCCACTGTGTGCCTGGCCTATGCCGCACGGACCCGCGGCAACGGTGCCGTTCACGATCGAGTCCAAAATGGTGCAGTGATCGTACTTGTAGATGCTGTCATCGTAGAGGTAGAAAAGGGTCCCACGTTCAGCGTGTCGCAGGAGAATCTCACCTCCATGCTGGGGCGCACCGCCTGAAGACGGGTGTGCTCCAGCGAGCGAGGGGAGGGCCAGGCTGCAGGCAAGGCGCCACATGATGGCGAGGCCTGGCGGGCGGCGCGAGCGATGAGCCAAAAGCTGCATGTCAGCACGCATCCTCAGATACCCCTGCATGCTCATGTACATAGCAACAAACACACCCACAGCAAGATGACAGGTGTCCCTACACCAGATAGCTTGCTCGTGCTGCTGCCAAAACTGACATGATATGACAAGAAAGAGGTACGACGCGAAGAGAGAAGAGATGCCTCTGAAGGCGCTTCCTCGGAGGGCTGAGGCAGGCTCTCTGAGGCACCTTCAATAGGGTTCCTGAGTGGCCCGACCCTTGTCTTTGCCTTTGTCAGCCCCTGGGGGCCCCGTCCCTGGGGTGACCTGGCCTGGCTGGTCAATCCACCCGCAGACAGCCACGGGGTCGGCAACTGATGCAGCTTCCTCCTTTTTTGTTTCGAGGGTGGCCACCTGAGGCAGGTGGATGGTGCCCCCCGTGAGGTGCCCGAGGAGGGCCTGGATGTCGCCACGCAGTGCAGCAGCTTCGGTAGTTGCCGTCTGTTGCTGAGTGACGACGGTGGCGAGCCCTCGTTCCAAGCCTGAAACGTGCTCCGTGAGTGTGGCCTGGGATGAGAGAACGCCCGCAAGCTGAACCTGCATGTTATCCACCGTGTTGGCAAGCAGCTCGTGCTGTTGTTCCATGTGTTGGATGCGGGTCGTGGCGGCATCTGACAGTTTAGGGGCCGTTGCGAAGCGTTCGCCGAGGGTGTTCAGTTCGCGAGATGCCACGCTGAATTCATCCCCTGATGAGAGGATCTCAACGTCGTCAGCGTCGCCTGGTACCTCGGCGGCTGTGGCAGCGTCCCCTTCCGTGTGGCCCCCGCCTTCAGCCGCCACCGTGCCAAGTTGCGGGTCATGACCACCTGGTCCTTGGACGGCCGTCTGCTCGGCAGCTCCATCCGTGCCGTGCGGGGGTGCAGAGGGGCTGCGGCCTGGGGCGCCGTGTGGTCTTGCGTGCGGCGTGGCGTTGCGTTTCCCACTGGAGGATCGGTGGCGCTTGGCTAGAGGCTCCTCCTTGGGGATCGGGAGCGGTGCGACGCCCTTGCCTTTGGGCGTGGCAGTCATGAGGTCGTGGAGGTAAGGGCTCTGGGCCGCTTTGGTTAGGAGTGTGCCCGTGGCGGGGCTGAAGCCGCCACCACGGGCTGGCGGCGTCACAGGCTCTGTGATAGTGGTAGGGGTGACAATGGTAACGTTGTCCCTCTTCGGCACCACCTCAGCCAACGGGGCCTCGGTGATGCTCCACGGGATGGGGCACCCTGCGACCTGTACCGTATATGTGGGTGGGGGACGATGGGCGCGCACTAAGGCAAACTGAGCCGAAGTGGCTGGGTCCCAGGCGGTGTGGTAGACCTCACAGTCCCATTTGACGGACGGGCCCGTGAGAGTCTTAGCAAGCTGGGTCAGCGTGGCGTGGCGCGCCGCAATGCCAGTGATGCGGTATCGCGTCTTGGCGAGGGTGGCTTCACAGCCACGGATGCTGACGGCAGCAGCCTTGGCGGCGTCTGACCCTCGTGCAACACGGATCCCCAATAAGCCTGACTTGCCGTGCCTGACGACTCCTAGGGCCTTGAAGTCCACCGACTTCTGGAACGCATCTGCCATCGTGATGGGCTGGTCCTCAGGGAACCACACGGTCTGGTACTTGTCTGCAGTGGGCTCGTCTGCACCTACGTTGCTGAGGTCGTAGGTGGCGCCGAGTTGCCCTGAACCCGCCAAGACCTTGTCAACCGCTTGAAGACTGACGCCGAAGGTGGCAGCCAGGGACCTCTTTCCGACGCCCGATCCATACCTGCCTAGGCTTTTGCAGGGTTCGAGGATGGTGACGGCTTTAAAGTTGCCGTGGAAGAGGGCCTTGAAGGTGTCCTGGAGCTGACTATCGAGCTCCTGGCGGCGAGCGTCTTTCTTGGACTCCCTGTGCTTTTGGTTTTGGCGCGCCTTGTCCTGTGGAGCGGAGTCCCCTCGGAAAGGACCCTTGGCGCGTGGACCACCGTTCACGGGGGCACCTCCCGAGAACTGATCCTCGAAGGCCTGATGCATGGAGGGGACTGCGGCGATGGCTTCGGTTTCATGTATGGTCACCCGAATCCAGCATACGTGGTCGGCAGGATCGATGGTGGCGACGGCTACTTTTTCCGTGCAGGCGACTTCCTTGGTGCCCAGCTGGTACACGGTCACTGCGTACCACTTTGTGTTGGGGTGACGCTTCAGCACGGGTGACGGCGACGGCTACGTGCAGGCGACTTCCTTGGTGCCCAGCTGGTACACGGTCACGGGGACGTGCGTGTGGACCACTTTGGGCGCCTTAGCACGGGGACGGCGAGCTCGGTACCGACGTAGTTATCGTTTTTTGGGCCCATGACAGCAATCGCAAGCTGACCCGTGGTACGCTTACCCTGCTCGAGGTGGTGTTGCAGCAGCCGTTCACCGCTCTCGTAGTCGTGGAGGCTGATACTGGGCTTGTACGTCTTGCCGTCGTCAAGTGATGTGGGTTCGGCCAGGACTGGGACCTTCCAGAAGGCCGGGTCCAAGGCAATGAATTGGGCGTCCGCAGCCTGAAGACGTGCGGACGCAGCTGGTGGGTGTGATGTGTCACCACCAATGCGCTTAGGCTTGCTGCGCTGGTGGTGATCCAGCGTGTAGCTGATCTGGTTGGCGGCACACATGCGGATCAAGGCACTGCCGAGCTTCTTGGTGTTGGTCTTGTGCATGTCGTACGTGGCCTGCAGCTCGTCCGCGTTCAGCTCGGCGAGCCCGTTGTATGCGGCCGTGGGGCGGTCAGACCCCGCTTGCTTGAAAGCTGCAATGCAGTCCTGCTTGCGTTGGAGGAGGGACCCTTCAGCTGCAGGACGTGAGCTCGGCGGCTGCTTGGAAGAGCGACGGCGCTCCGGCTTGCCGGGGGCCATTGCGGCGGGCGCTCTGGTGGGTAGAGAGGTGACGCGAATCAGTAGGGTCCTGGTGGGACCCCTCCGGTCTCGCGAGGCCTGGGAGTCTGGCTCCGAGGCGGGGCGCTTCGCGTCGCGGCTGCGGTCTGAGTGCTGGGCACTCTCGAGCCGAGACTAGAGAGAGAGGGTGAGAGAGGGAGAGAGAGAGGGAGAGAAAGAGGGAGAGAGAAATAGAGAGAGGGGCAGAGAGAGCGAGAGAGAGAGAGAGAGAAACAGATAGAGAGAGAGAGAGAGAGAGAGAAACAAGAGAGAGAGAGATAGAGAGACGGAGCGAGGGAGGGAGGGAGGACGGAAAGAGAGAGCGAGAGAGAGAGAGAGAAGAGACAGCGAGGGAGAGGGACGGAGAGAAAGAGAGAGAGAGAGAGAGAGTAAGAGCGAGAGCGAGAGAGAGAGGGGGAGACAGAGAGTATGATCATACGTTGGAGGACTAGGTAGAGGGAGGAGGAGGAGGAGGAGGAGGAGGAGGAGGAGGAGGAGAGGAGGAGGGAGGTGGGAGAGAGAAGAAATAGAGAGAGAGAGAAGGGAGAAATAGAGAGAGAGAGAGAGAGTGAGAGAGAGAGAGAGAGAGAGAGCCAGAGGAGGGGGAGAGGCAGAGCGGATACATATCGGCATCTATATATATAGAGAGAGATGAAAAAGGGAACGATACAGATACCTATACATATCATATATGTATATGTACGGAGCGTGGAAGTGGAGAGAGAGAGAGAGGATATACATATATATATATAGAGAGAGAGAGAGAGAGAGAGAGAGAGAGAGAGAGAGAGAGAGAGAGCGAGAGAGAAAAATATTAAACACGCATTAAAACATAGATGATATCTCTCTATGTATATTTATATATACATATAGGGGGAACAGGAGAACGAGGAGGAGGAGGAGGAGGACGAGGAAGAGAAAGAGGAGCTGGAGGAGGAGGAGGAGGAGGAGGAGGAGGAGGTTGGGGGTTAGGGGTTATGGGGGAGGATGAGGGGGAGGAGGAGGAAGATGGAGGGCAACGGGGAAGAAGGTAGGAGGGGGCAGGCGGAGGCAGACGAAGAAGGACGGAAAAAGGGAACGGGCGGACGGGAGCTGGGAAGAGGGGGGAGGAGGGAGGAGGGGAGGGAGGAGGGGAGGGGCAGGACGGAGGAGGGGGCAGGAGAAGGGAGGCAGGCGGAGAGGCAAGAAGCCGCCCCTTCCCCAAGGCGCCAGGCGCCCGGGTGAGGCTGACCTTCGCGGACGGCGGGGGCCAGCTCCCGTCGCAGCGGCGGAGCGCGGCCATGGCGGGGTCGCCCCTGCCTGGGCGCGCCTCGGAGAGGCCGGCTGCCGATGGACCGCCGCCGCCGCCGTCGGCCGAGCTCAGAGGAGGAGCAGGTGCCGACCCAGACATGCTCGCGTCTTGAGAATCACGACGGGTTGTTTGTTTTTTGTTTTCTGAGTTTTCGGTTTCCAGGGGCCCTCTCCGGGCCCCCGGGCCCGTCAAACAGCTGCTCGGCATGAAACACCTGCCCAGGGGAAAGGGTCGGGATGTCTCAGGACCCCGTATTGAAAAAATCAAGACGTCGCATGTTTGGGCATACCGCTGCCCTTCCCTTGTTTCTGTTTGCCTTTTTGAGCATCCTTGGAGGCCCTTGTCGCCACCGCCAGATTCGCCTCGAAATCCTGCTCAGAACACACCCCAGGAGGGGTCTGGGGAGTGGCGGCATCGGTGCCCGTGTGTTTCCCCCTACGGCAGGTTCGCGTCGCGTCGGCGCGGCGGCGGCCCCGCCGCGGGCGTGCGAGGCTCTCCGAGATCCAGGCGTGACAAGTTTTTCACACCAGGCGCTCTTCTTGGCCTCCCAGATGAGTCCAAGCAGATGGGTCGGAGAGGATCGCGCCGCATCGCCGATGCATCGGCAATGCGGCTCGATGCGGAGCCCGATTTTCGACATGCCGACGGCGGCGATACATCGCCGATGTCGCCGATGCATCGCCGACGCATCTCCGATATCGGCGATGCATCAGCGATGCTGCGTGTCCTCCGACCCATCTTCTCGGACCCCACCTGGGACCTGGGACCATCACATATCGAGCTGGCTCGAGAGCTGCCGCAGACAGATGGGGTCCAAGGCTCAGGCTGTGATGATTCGCGATGTTGTCCGCTACCGTGCCGATATGCTCAGGTCCTTTGCCCGGTCCTCTAAGCCTCGGTCCTCGCTCCTGAGGAGTCTTTCATTGGCCCGGACCCAAGATTCTCTAATCTCCTGGGGCCTCCCGCGGTTCCCGTCGGCTCAGCCGCAGCTGCTTGCGTGACGTGTTCGGACCCAAGAGGACCCTAAGACGCGCCAGGGGGGCCTCGAGACGCCCACACAAGACGGTCCAAGAGGGCCCCAAGACGTTCCAAGATCGCACCAAGACGCTTCCGTAGCCGTTTTGATTGAAGCCGCTTCGGTTCGAGGCCTCTGCCAGACCCGTCGGCGGTCTGTCTGACGTGGGGTTAGGGCTGTCGAGCCCGAGCCCATACACACGGGGCAGACCCCTCTGCAGGGGTTGGCGCCCCGTCCTTCAGCGAACTCTTCATCGGAGCCCCTTCTCCCGGCCCCTGCCCCCTTCTCTCCCCCCCCTGCCCTCCTCCCCCTCCTCCACAATTACTCAATATGAAAATACTCTCCCTCTTCCCCTGATGGCGGTTGGGTGATCGCCGACCCCCCCCCCGCGTACTGTTTTTTACACACAGGATTCCCGGGAAACGGGTTTTCGCCTGCTTTTTTGCCAAAATGCTGCTCTCGCTGAGGCGTTGGCCTCATTTCTGCTCCCGACTCGTTCCGAATCGTGCTCCCGCTGCAGCGTGGGCCTCATTTTCGGATCGGTGTTTGGCCTCCGTCGTTCAGGATGGCGTTCTCGCCCCAGCGCGGGCCTCTTTCTCGCGCGCCCATCCGCCCGCCACCACTGCGCCGCACCACCACCACCACCACCACCACCACCACCATCACCACCACCACCAGCACCACCACCACCAGCACCACCACCAGCACCACCACCAGCACCACCACCACCACCAACACCACCACCACCACCACCACCACCACCACCACCACCACCACCACCACAACCACAACCACGCACACACGCACGCACGCACGCACGCGCACCACCACCCACTACGCACGCGCGCGCGGAGCCACAGGTCCGCTACGACACGCGTCCGCGGATAGAGAAAATCAGCGCCATGGTAAGGGATGGGAGGGAGGGGTAGGACGTCAGATATGACGCGAGCGCACCTAGCTTGCCCTCCCCCCTCCCCCTCCTCACTTGCGCAGCGCCGTCGGGCGTCCCCTGCCGCGCTTGCGCGCCCGCGGCCCCCCCGGCGGGGCGGTCAGACAGCCTGGCGCGAGCGCGGGGCCCTCCCCGAACACCACTGGGGGACTTTATCCGGAGACGGGGAGGATCAAGGGAAGAACAAAAACCCGGACCCGATAATTGGCGTTTACGAAGCGCCCTGGGCAGCCTGGGCGTTTACTAAACAGTCTTGCCCTGTTCGATTCCTTCTTTGGGTGCGTTTACGAAACGGCTTCGCTTGCCGGGGTGGTTACAATTGGAGTGGATTTTTGACCCCTAGCAGGAAGGGGGAGAGGCCACCGTCTCTGCTACACATCCTGAGGCCTCCCCTCCCCCGCCTCCCCCTCCTCCCTCCTCCTCCTCCTCGTCGTCCTCCTCCTCCTCGTCCTCCTCTTCCTCCTCCTCCCCCTCCCCCTCCCCCTCCTCACCTCCTCACCTCCTCCCCTCCTCCCCTTCCTCCGCCTTCTCCCCCTCCTCCCCCTCTCGAGCCCGAGAAGGCGTGCGCTGGGCGAGGAGAAGCCCGGCGACAGCCCCCGGCAGGTCTTCGACGAGGAGCCCCCCGAGGCGCCTCTCCGCCGCCGTCGGCCGCGGCGGCTGCGACGACGGCGGCGTCCACAGACATGTCGGCCACGCGTAGAGGGGTGTAACGTTCGTCTAGAGTCTAGGCCTCCTAGATGGTGTCGGAGTAGATGGAGTGGGAGGATCGCGCCGCATCGCCGATGCATTGCCGATGCGGCTCGATGTGGGGCCCGATTTGCTTCACGTCGACGTCGCCGATGCATCGCCGACGTCGACGATGCATCGCCAGTGCATCACCGATGCATCGCACGTTTTGGCTCAAGCTGTTTCAAGCGCAAGCTTTGCACTGATTCAGGTGGGCTCGGCCTGGGAACAGCCCGATGGGGGAACCTGCGGCCGCCTCCATGGCCGTGGATGATGGCAGGAGAGGAACAAAAAGAGGCGAGAGTGAAGGACCATTTGGAGAAGTGTCTAATCGTGCGATATTCGACTTGCTCACAAACTTCCAAACCGAGTACAGGAACGACAAGAAAGGTATCGACGCCGAGTTCAAAAAGGCTAACACCCAGTTGGCACATGTGGATCAGAAGGCTGACCGAACTCTACGTGAAGCGCAACAGGCTACCGAGGGAGTGCAGCAATTTCTTCGTCAACAACGGCAGCAGGGTGCAAGTTCGGCGGCTTCGGCGACTTCGGGGCTCTCGAGGCCGACGGCGGGGTCTGCTCAAACTGGCAACCCACAAGGAGGTGCAGGCGGCAATGCGATCGATATGAGGAAGTTGGTGGTGGGGAGAGTTCCTGCATACAGCGAGTAGGACGAAATGAAAGCAGCGACCGATATCATGTTAGCCGGGCACACCGAGAACACCTTGTACCGATATTACGCTTCTCCCGGTAACCATTGCACAATCATTTGGGAGACTTCTGACCTAATGTGGGAGTGGATTGGGGAGTGGAGGAGAAAAGTAAAAGACGAAGATCGTGGAGATGGCAAGTGTACGATTGCTGTCAATGGAACTCAGTCTTGTCTCTGGGCAAAGCGGCACGAAGACAAGGAGTTGAGGGATCGCAAAGGAAAGCTCGCCAGACTGAAGGAGGCCGTGAGCAACTTCGACACCAACGTGGTCTTCCGCATGGTAAACGCCCAGGACGCTATTGTGGTTCAAAAGAGGGTCGTGGCAGGCTTTGACGAAAAGGGGGGACTCAAGGTGAAGCCCGAGAATTTCACCGAAGGCATGCTGAGCAATGGCGCCTCGGAGGAGAAGATCAGGGAGGTATTCGAGCGCTGTGTCCATGAAAAAACAGCGTTCGTTTCGGCCGTTCTGATAATGGCAGAGAGGCTGGTAGGTCTTGTCGGCCTGCCTGCCAGCCTTCCGCGGGCAAACCTCGGGCACAAGTGCCGCGAGGAACAAGGCGACACAATTTTGTCAACGTTGTTGGTCTGAATTGTTGTGGGGCGTCGCAGGACACCAAAACAATGAAGGACTTTTTGGACAACATACATATCTGATGGGACGCACTTCTTCTTCAGGAGTTCAGTGGTGTTGGGGCGGGCTATGCCGGCAACATAGACGGGCATACCAGTGTTGTCGCAACCGGAGCTGAGGTACGAGGATGTGCAGTTGTTCTACATAGACGTCACAAGACTGCCATGGAAAAGCCGGCGCCGTCAGAGAACCCCAGGTAACAAGACGCACATGTTTGCAGTGGCCAAAAACAATTGTATCTCGTCAGCGCTTATTTCCCACAGGATTCCGGCTTGCAGGAGTGGACGGACCAGATGGATTCCACTTTCAAGACGATTCGGAAAATATGCAAACGGTCAGAGACGTTGATGATGTCAGTGGACGCCAATTGCGAGATGGGCGACAGGTTGGTGGACGATGGACTTCATGCCATTGGTATTTTTTCGCAGGGTGCTCGCGGCGACCGGGGCCAGCTGCTGATTGAGAAACTGTTGAGCCATCGTCTTGCTGCAATCGATACGTTTGACCCTTTGGCCAAAGGTTCAACGTGTCATTCGTGGAGCTTCCCCGATGGTCCTGGTACACAGATCGACTTCATTATCACCAACACAGACAAGTTCGGACTAGTTGACAGAGTTCGCAGCCACCATGTCTTGGCGACACGAACGGACCACATGATGCTCCAGGTCCGGATGGTTGTTGAACGTCGCACATATTGGCACGAGCGGAAACCTATAGGATGGACTCTGACAGATCCTTTACTTTTTTCTCTAAGCTGGGGGAGCGGATCGACGATGGGAAGACTTTGGGAGATATTTCAAAAGCGTTGGGGGAAGTCGGGAAGGAGTTTGGGGCATTACCGTCCAAAAAGCAAGTGAGAAGAGCGAAACGCGCAAAACTCCACAGCGTGGAAACCGAGCGGCGCTTGGCCACGACCCGGCGGGCCAAAAGAGTTGTTGCTGAGAGTGTCTTTCTTGGGCGCAAGTGGCTGCAGGCTGAAGATATACAGGAGAGGAGCAAGGATATACTGGGGAATTTATCGAGGGGCGGCTGGGGGAGAAAGCATCGGACTTCTTCGTCGAATACGTCGTTTATTTGCTGCCCACAGACCAAAGTGCCGATCACCGAAACCACGAAGCTGGAGAGGGGCATGGTTGACTTCTTTAACGAGGCTTTTCGGGATCCTGATGAGGAGTTTTTGCCAGCATGGATTTGGGGGAGTTTTCCTGACGCGGAACCAGTCTCAGCTCATGTGATCAACCGAGCCTTCACGTCTGTCAGTCGCGGGGCCAGCTGTGCCGGCGACGGGGTCGTAGGCGAGATGCTTCACGCCATCGCTAGCTTTCAGACGCACCTGCCAGAGCGCATTCCTGTCTCTGCTGCCGTTCCTGTAGGTGGGCCAGGAGGGCGCGGGCGGCGTCACTTCCTGCAGTTTGATGGGGCAAGGAGGGACGAGGAGCACATGGGGTGCGGAGGAGTCGTCTTCGATCCGGAGGGGGAGGTGATCTTCGAGTTCACGTGGAGGTTTCTGGGAGGGAGTAACGCGGACGCCGAGTGGCACGGTCTTCTGCTAGGTCTAGAATACGCCAGGCATTCCGGCATCCAGTTCCTGGCGATCGAGGGGGTCAACGAATCCGCCATTCAACATGTCTTGGGGGGTTGGCAGGCCTGTGATCGCAAGAGTTGTATTTACCGATCTCACTGCTACGCGATTCTTTCTAATTTCATCTTCGCCCAGGCTATGCGGGTGCCCGGGGCTAAGAATTTCCGGGCGGATTTCCAGGCTAACCTCGGCGTAGACGAGTGCAACCCCGTTCGAGCGCAGGATGCCACCTTGCAGTTCCATTCTTGTGAGTACTGCGTGCAGGGAGGCGCGCGCCTCGACAGCGACGGCATTTTTTCTCCTTGCTTGTGAGTGGGAGGGAAGGACATCACGCATCCGCTGCGCATAACCACAGATTGCCTGAACAAAGATATCCGCGGAGTGTTTCGAACGGCCTGCGCAGATACCGAACAAGAAAGCGTTGCGACAGAATTCCCCTATTACGACAGCCCCCGAAATGTTGCGACGGATTCCCAGTATTTGCCCAACGCGCACAGAAACGTTGCGACGGATTCCCAGAATTACGACATCTTCGCACGCCCAGCTAAACGTAGTCGTAAACATTATGATGTACTTTTGTCTATTTTGGGGGTGGTGGGTATGCAGAGGGAAGGGACATACTCGCGAACATGGCATTGTTACCAAAATGTCACATCATCAGCTGGTGGGCCCAGCTCAGGCCGATCACCGTCCTGCCCGTGTTTTTGAAGGTGGTGGGAGGAGGAGTGTTGGACATGATTTTTGACCAGATCCAGCCCCAGAACATGGCACTTTGCGTATCGTGCGCGGCATTCTTGCGTGGATTTGATTTTCACCGTTATGATGCTTGGGCAAAGATTGGTACAAGCTGACCAGCCGATCGCCATCGCACCATCAGACGTACCGAAAGCTTCTGATCGAGTTCGACACCTATTTCTGATCGAAGCCTTGCAAGACCGCGGCATTCCTAGAAGTATCATCGCTCGGTTCGTTCGTCAAATTCGTAGTCTCGGGCGCTCGCTACATTTTCAAAGGCTCGAGGGTATTGCCAGCTTCATCTCTAGATCTGTACCACAGGGAACGAAATGGGGACCATTATTCTTTGCGCTATGCTTGGAAAGGTGTTTGAAACCCCGTGTGGGAGCTCTGCCAACGGACACGACTGGGAATACCTTTGATTGGCATTTCACCCTGTTCAGCTAATGGTCAAAAATGGTGCGAGTCTTGTTGCACTGTGTATGTTCCTTTAGTTTGCTTCTCGGATAACCTGATCATTCTGAGCAGGGGCTGGAAGCAGGCGAGGGAGATCCATGCGTTGGCGGAGAGAGCACTCGCCTTTGCGGGCTGGGATCTTCCGGCATCGCGCATCCAATGGCATGCAACGGCAGAGCTGGGGCGGGATGACGACCGGTCGCCTTTTAACCCCTGGGAGGGGACGGAAAGACGTGCCAATGGTTCTTCCCCGCGCTTGCCGGGGAGCTATTCGACTGCGAGGAGGTGCATGCAACCAGACATCTCGAAGAAGTGCATTGCTGGATCCAGCGGCGTGGCGAAGAACAGCTCTCTTTGGAAACCGAGGTGTGCCACTAGACTGCAGAGGTTGTCATTCATCCAGCGAGTGTGGACGTCGGCGGCTCTGTGGATTGCGCCACGCTGGACCTACAACATCCGAGCCTTGCAGAAGATCAGGGGTTGCATCAACATGCATTTCGGGGATGCTATGCGGCTACACAGGTTCCAGCATGATACGGATGAGAGCTACGCCAAACGACAGCGACGGGAAACAAGGGCTCTTCGACTGGACGCACACACTGTTGACGCTGATGTGGTGGCTCTCAAGCGTACGTTTTAATATGCTGGTCACACTGCCCGTCGCATCAAGTACGCACCTGACGATCTGCCTTGTCAAGCGCTTCTGTGGAACTGCTGGCGCAGATGCCAGGAGAACGTTACCAGATCATGGCATCGCCAAGGGCACCCACGCCGGTTTGCCCTCT